TTGTGCATCCACTCGTTACTTTCCTAACACCACTCTATATGTTGTCCCCTTATTTCGCTTGAATTTGCTTCGACATTCCAATCTTCATTTCGCTGTTTTATCCAAATGGGCAACCAAAAGACAGCAACCAAAACCGGCGCACGAAAGTGCATGGTTAATGGTTTTAAGAACTGAACTGAACACTGATCGAAGTGCAGTTACAAGCAACCGGTCGGCAATTAAAAGAAATTCAGAAATATCACATGTAGTTGGGACCACATACCTTGAGGAAAAATGGCAAATAGGTTAGCTTTAGGCCATATCGACGGGATACCCAATCACTTGTTTCCTTCCGGAATTCCACCAGTTTGTACAAATCCACCTCATCGGAAAGAACAAAATGTGGGATTTCGTTCGATTGCGTCATAGTTACTCGCATCGCGCGCTGAATAGCTACAGCAACGATAAAAGACAGATAGACAGAGTAAACGAAAAAGGTTTGATCAGAAGTGAGTGACGACTTGGCGAAAATTCGAGTAAAATTATATGAGAAATGAAACAAAGGCGGAAATAAATTTCAATAGTTGATATAACAAGGGAATGAACAGACGACAGAAATAAACGCAAATATTGATCACTGATTTGACAAAATTAAACGCCAAACAATGCGGTTCAAAAATAGCTCATAAGGAACTTTACCATCTAGTGTGCTTCTTTTTCGCAACGACTTACTTCAAAAACCATCGTTTTAAATGATGCATTATTGTATACAAACTAAACCATTTTATATCGTTACGCCATGAAAAGAAGTAATCGAAAGCATAATTCAAATTAGAGGATCTGCTTACTGAATAGATCTTGAAAATTATTCAATATTATTAAACAAACAAATGTTTCATACGTTTCATAGAAATTTTGACTCAGGATACCTGGGTAATAAGAAGGATATCAGCGAAATATGAGACACTCAAGTTAGGTTCAGTTTAAACAGTCAGCAATCTTGCACTGCAGTGCCACGGTTTTTGCTGTCTTTCGGCTGATCAATAAATCGACCGACGAGGGAAAAGTAGATAGAACTGTCACAAAGTTGAGAGCCTTATCAAAATACATATACAGTAGGAAAAAATCAGATCTTCGTGAATAGCACATAGATGCATGAACGCCACTGGTTGCGATACTCAGCTATATTACTTAGTGACACTAACCATGGATTACGTAGACCACGAAGTCCCCAACCACGAAACCCAATAGGACCTACGTGACCGAATAGCCAATGTCTCTGTATCATTCAGCAGCAGTGGTGAGACCATAGCAGTTCATACTCGACCTTCCACCCATAAATTAATGTTTTGGCAGTGCCAAAGGTATCTCAAGTTTGGAAACAGTAATCGATGCTCCTATATGCATGCCGAAACTTCATCAGAGATTTAGTCACCAGGGGGAATGAATCCATTGAGATAGTTAAAAAAAATTCTTTTTTTTATAGCCTCTCCCGTTAGACTAAAATTGGAAGTGGTAACATGCCCACCGAAAGCTAAAAGCCCCAAATGACAAGTCTGCATGAGCTTGGTTCATGTTCGTGCTGGACTTACCCCTTACTGCAATGTAGGTTAGACTTTGAATTGAAAGCTCCGCTTAGGGTTCCAACCGAGAAAACTCTTCGTCAGTATGGGTTACTGCGAAGTATACCATGTCTTAGAATCTCAAGCAGACTTGGAAACTCCTGTTTCTGGTTTGTCTGGTGCTTCCTTTGACTCGGGAAACAGACGAAATGCCTCCCGAATGAGCCACCCAGGGTACACCAGTCAGGGTGGGACTAATATGGCTAGCGGATATCATGATTGTATGAGGTGTGCTTTAATATGCGAACATGAGTTTATCTCACCGGATAAAATGGTAGCACATGGAGAGAGTTTCCTACTATAATGGTTCCGTTGCCAAGTCATTACTGTGAAATATCAAGCACATTAATGAAGCGACGTGTTGGAATTCGTGAGACTCCTAGCTAGTGGTAATCTTTTTGACTGTTTCAAGATGCGAGAAGTACTAAGACATGGAATGATAAAATAGATGTAACTTTGCCGAGAAAAAGAAAAAACTCAACGGAAAGACTTATCGCCGTACCCTAAGAGCCCGGTTTGAGACACCAAACGAATATTTTGCTATTCCTGAAATACTACACCATCTGCTTCTCTATTGAAGCTTTTCCGTCTCGTTAGGGCCTGTATCTTTGAGACACTTCTAATGCTGGTCATGTGACTTGGTGATTCGATGCCGTGGATTGCAGTTTAGCGCACATGAGGTGCGTCAAACATCTACGGGACAGAAACCGGAGGGTATCAAGCTCCAACACGTGACCAACAGAAATGGTCGGCACAGTTCAAAGATAGCAGAACAAATGATTTGCATGTAACACCGAGTAGTTAGCTTAGGCAAACAACATGAAGCATCTCAAAACACATGACATTATTCATGTTTACGCATAACCTTGAATAATTTCATCAAACCATGAAATTCAAACTATGCGATAGTAAATATCGCTCTTTTGGGAAACGCTATTATGAAAGACTCACAAAAAGTGGCATCAAATACTATTAGTGGAACGCGACATCGGATTCATGGGTACGTCTTAATACAAAGCAACGAAAAAGCTTCATTTGAAAAGTGTTCAATTGGGTAGAACTTGTTTGGCTGATATTATCACCGTGGATTTTCATTACTCAATTTCTGTATACAGTTTCATCAGTGCCATTAATGGAATCAAGCTAAGCAGTGCGGAAAAAAATCATTTGATAAATATGATGACGGTGTTGAAGAAAACTCAACTGAGAACAGGTTAGACTAGTATCTATTCACTAGTGTATACTCCTCCGAAATCCTCAGTATGGTCGGGGGTGGGTGTCTAGGGTTGCGGCCGGTCACCCTTCTCTTGCACCTCGCGAAATGCTCCCATATGACCAAGCGTCTCAAATAGCCTCTGTTGAGGAAGCCCTACTCACTGCCTTCTCATGGCGGCGGTGTTTCCCCACCAAAGTGAGAGGACGAAGAGCCGACATCTGGGGCTATAACCGGGTTGGTGGAACACTGATAGCNCCTATCGGAGTTGGCCAAAAACCTTGATTCCAAACGAACCAAGAGGAGGCGTACGAACCACACCCACACCTTTCCGGTTGTGGCAATGGCCACTGGCTCGATTGGGCATGGAGGTGTATTGGGCACCTTGGGCGTTTGACCCCGTTCGAAGGGCGTATGATCTGATGAATCGGACACCGGCTCCCAATGGATTGCAGTTTACAAACCTCCCCGCTGCCTTGCGGGTCAGGCTTTGACTAGCCAAAGGCTCCGAATGTGGATTCCCCAAGAAAAGTCACCTGCCTTGGCCTAGGCAACCTGGCAGTATTCAGCCCACAAGCCAATTATGGAACATTTCTCTTTTTATAAAGATTATTGTACCATGATTTGTTTGGCACACAGTCTGGCTCCATAGGAGCATGAAATATAGCATAATGATAATAAGTATCTATTTACAAAAAGAACCTCGTATTGGCATTTTCAAAGCTGTTGTTCGAAATGAAACCAAAAGAAGTGGAACAGGGAATCTGAATAGGAACGTGAAAAAGGGCGGAAACCAAAAAAGGAGCAGGGAGACTGTCAAATTGCTGAACTGAACGCTCGCGTACTCACCGGAGAGTTGAACTACTCGATCTTCACCCGAAGGGACAACTGTCGGACGAACAACCGAAGGCGGAGGAACACTGACACAAGGTTTCGGAGAGGCTTCCTTAACAGAATCACCCGAGGATCTGGTCTTTAGGAAGTTTAGAATATCTTCTTTCATTATGCGACCGTCCTTGCCCGTCCCGACCACTTCAGCAAGGTTGATCTGTCAAGATTCAATAAGGCATAAAAGATTGCATAAATGTAAACAAGAAGGATACAAAAAAGCTGACGAAATAAATCAACGGGTATTTCTTAACATTAACAGCTCGGTGAGAAACCCTGCCTTCAAATAACAGTGCAGTAGTTGCTACTCACAAACTCGGATGAGATGCTAGGTAAAAAAGGTAGTTGTACAAAAAGCATTTTCGAAAGAATGAAGTTTGATTCATCTAATCTGAAAAACACCAGTCAAGAATATAATATTAGTCTTTGAAATCACGCTCAGCATTTGAAGCCCCCAAACATTCGTTGAGGATGGATGTCTCGGTAGGTCGATTTCACCATCACGGGGTACTGCCAACTTTTCCTCTAAGGTTTGCGGTTCCATCATATGCTCACTCTCACCTCGCGGTGGAGATCTTTTCTCCGAATCGTGAGATAAAAAGCCAATCCAAGGGACTACGATCATGTTGGTGAGCCATGAGAGGCTATTTCGAAGTTGCTGCTGATTTGATCAGTTCCGGTTTCATAAGGCGGTTTTGATTGCTGTCTTTTTGCTGCCTATTTGTATGAAGAAGCAGAGGGAAAGCAGCAGCTACATCACTCAGGGTCTCTAACCATCGGTTATACTGGTTCTGTGGTTCCCATCCAGAACGCGTACTGTGACCCAAGTGGGGAAAGGTTACATCAACTAACACGTTAAAATTTCCTACACACACACACACACGCGCGCGCGCAAACACATACACACTTCCATTACTTTCTACCTCCGAATACTGACTTTAAATTGAGACAATGGCTATGATTTTGTAAGAATTTTTTCCACTATATGATATGTAAGAGCATGACTAGGAATATCCGAAAACAATTGTTCGCTCACCGACTCGTTTTTTCAATGCTATCATGGGAATATTCGAGCTTTTAATACCGAAATTGCTTTTGTGTGTACTACTAGGAGAACCTGAGGGCTGATCCTATTGTAATGCATTATGTATTACCATATCAGTACATTTTCGATCCCACGAATCTAAACCACACTGAAATGGTCTGGCAACTTTGATGCATGATGTAGATTGACGAAAGACGTATCTTTTCAAAGTAGGTGTGAATTAGCATCCGACAGTGTAGCTTTTCTGGATGCTTGAAAAAAGTACACTGATTTTTGGAATCAAAATAGATGCTACTGCAGTTAAAAATCCGTCCCTGGAGTGGACTACTGTTTAGGCCCAGTGAATGCAAACACCCAACCACCAACTATGTTATCGGCGGAAATTTCATAGGTTTAAATTCATATTTAAATATTCTGATAAAAAAGAATCTGCACAACTTTTGACTTATATTTGCTACTCTGTCATAACTTTCACCTATTTTGCGAAACTTCTTTGATCCATTTTGCATATTTCGTTGTCTTTATTGATGTTAACAAAATAAACAACCGGAAATGGAAGTGAACAAACAGTCCTTCACTTTCATTTCAAAAGATTTAAATTAATAACATTCAGCTGCCACTATTTCTTAAAATAGAACCAAATAAACTGTTGCAAGATCGTCGACTACAGACGCTCTAAATCAGAGTATTATTTTATCATCCAATAACCAGGCAATGAAACGCAGGCAGAAAAGATATATATATATATATATTTACCACCGGCTTGAAAACAAGCATGGTGCCAACGCAACAACAATGACAGTGAAGGGGATAGGTGGATTAGGATACAGAACATGGGGAAAAGTGAGTGAGACAGTTAAACATGGAAAATACAAGATAACAGAATTTTTTTGTGTTTCACCGTAGGTAGAAAAGAGCACCCAATGATGTCCATTCCACGTCCTCAGTTTTTTCAAGTATGTCAGTGAAGTTTTCATAAACAATTTTTCGCAGTTAAACGCGCTTCCTCTGGTCCTAAGACTCTGGATCCCTGTAACCGATGAACTGAGGATACTGAAGACGAAGTCATAAGTCGAAACCCTACTTCCGAAACTTGTAAACATAAAAAGCTAAGTAGAGATAGTTACCATTGTTTATCTTTCGCCTCCTTCCGTCTAATTCACTATTTTTCAGGCACTCAATGCGAGAACCTAACTCAGATCGTATTGATCGATACTCATCTACCCATTTATACAAAAGAATGTTCAACAAGACGATGATCCCTCAATCCTGGAAACGCGGCATCATTTCGCCTATTTACAAACGTGTCTGCAGAAATGATCCTGCGAACTACCGTCCAGTTACCCTTCTTCCTGTCCTGTCAAACGTAATGGAATCGACTGTTGCTGATTCTCTGATGGATCACTTCGAGAAGCATAACATATTTTGCCGGCCCAACACGGGTTTCGAAGGAAACGCTCTGCTACTTGCACGAGATGAATGGACAAAATCAGTCGACGCAGGAGAAGAAGTAGATGTAATTTACTTAGACTTCTTCAAAGCTTTTGACAGGGTTAACCATCATATACTGCTGCGAAAGCTCCATAATTATGGTATCCCAGGGCTGCTACTGGACTGGATTGAGGAATTTCTTCGACAACGCAACGTATCGGTTCGAGTTAATGGTTCTCTGTC